AAAAAAACAGAATGATACACTCTTCATTTTGTTTGCTTATTTTAAAAATCTATTGCCAGCTAAGGATACACAGTTTTAAAGAGCTCATAATGTTTTACCCTGCAAAAAATCATAATGGTTGTTTTCATAGCCCTAAATGAAGGAAGCATAATTTCAAACAGAATCACTTGTATAATTACTGAGCTGTGACAACCATTCATCTGTTTGGTAACAGCGAGAGAAGGTAATATTCCCCCAGTCCTCAAAGCTAATTAGCTAATGTAAGCGTTGGCTAACCACACCAGTTTCCAGATAGAAGGATCACTTCTGACTCACTGCAATTTATCAAAGGTTTCCCTCAGATAATTCCTTCTGTAAGAAAGGCATGGTAATTACTTAAGAGTTAGAGACCCTTCCTGAAGATGAGAATCAGTTCTTCCTTGACTTGCTGACCTGAAATATGTTTATGATCAGAGGATGCACAAGGCTCATGCCAGAGGTGTTTTACTGTGTTTAACTGGTTCAGATTAAAATATGTGGCAAAAAATGATCACCATTAGGATGCTTTTAGAAGCTAACAATCAATCAGGAAAACTAAAACTATGGTTGATATTTAAGAAAGAAGTGGCACCGATTGGAAAACAAACTGGAGAGCTGTGCTTGCTCTACGGAACCTACTAGGAGCCAAGTCAAAACCTGAGTAGTCTGTTGTGGGGGCAGCTGGAACATTACGATTCGCAGCATCCATCATTTCCCAGTAACTTTTACATGTCTAAAATTGCATTTTTATAGACATAGTTAAAACATCACTTAAAATTTTTTCAGATCTTCTTTAATTGATGAAATAGTTTATGATAATAATATAGGTAGAGATGCTATTTAAAAGGGAGGGAATTGTGACAGACTCAAGGCTCTGAAATTTGCCAACCTGAAAAATATATGGATTTTAATTGAAGAAAGTGTGTTCTACAGTGAGGGACTCGAGCCAGGAAACAGGTCATGACTCGCTGAGCTCACATTTCCTCTTCACACCTACATGGGTGTTGATGGCTCTCCACAGGCAGAAATAAAGCCGGAACTGAGGCCGAGCTAAAGGTTAAGGGCTGTGCTGTCTGGTCTGGCAGCTACTGGCCACTTGTGGCTGTGGACCATTTGACATCCTGGCCTGAGACAAGCAATGGTCTAGGAGTAAGATGCAGGCTAGATTTCCAATGCACAGTTTATATAAAAAGAGGCAAGTACGTAAAACATCCCATCATAATCTTTATATTGACAATGGATTAAAATGATATTCTTGATATTTGGATTAAATGAAAATGTTATTCAAACTGAATTCACCTGTTTCTTTTTATCTTTTAATCTGACTACTAAATGTTTCAAAATTACATCCAGAATTTTGGGAACCAAACTCTTATCATAAGCTAACTTAGGTGCTGCCGTGAAGGGGGTTTGCAGGTGCACCAGAAGTCCCTTATCAATTGACATTAAGTTAAGGAGATTATTCTGTCTGGCCTTTACTAAATCCGTTGGGAAGCCTTCAAAGAGGGCTGAGAACTTTCCGCAGAGAGGAAAGCAGCTCTGACCGGCACTCAGGGGTCACATCAGCGCACTCTCTCCCCTCCCAGAAGCATGTTCTACAGAATTCAGAGCACACAGAAAACTCTACCCACTGCGAGCCACTTCCTGGATCCAAACATGAATGTAGATTCCCGTCCTACCTGTGTTATTTCTTTGTTTGAACACTAACACGTGCAGAGTCTGGTCCCAGGACATGGGGCATTGCTGTCACAAATGTGGGAGCAGCTCTGAAACTGGGTGGTAGGTTGGGGCTAAAGGACATGTGAGGAGCATGACAGAGAGGCTGGCAGCATCCCACAGACCCCTAGCAGAGGGCCGGCTGCATCCCACAGACCACTAGCAGAGGGCCGGCTGCATCCCACAGACCCCTAGCAGAGGGCCGGCTGCATCCCACAGACCCCTAGCAGAGGGCCGGCTGCATCCCACAGACCACTAGCAGA